CCACCTCCTCCACAAGGTGCAGGAAGCCAAAGATGTGCCCTCTCTCTGTGAACTGCAGAACAAATTTTATTCTCAGTTTTCTCATGAAGCTTTCCAAATATAGAGGGTAAATGCTTGTTTTCATGATTTGAGAGCACAAAAAAGAATGCACTATAATACAATTGATTGCAGATGACCATCTTGAATTGGGGATCATCAATATCTATCACTTCATCTGCGAATGATGATACCCAAGAATGATGATGTTAGGAAGTCCATCGGATTATAGTATAGAATGACATGGAAAAACCAAATTTTCCTTGAAGGAATATGAGGATGAGCTGCTGCAATATGAGAAGAAAAACGCACTAACTTTAACAGAATTCCCGACAAGATTAGTAATGACTAGTCAAAAAGGTTTCCTATAAGAATTTTTGGAACCTTATTGGAGACATATACTTCCAACTTCTCGGCCCAAACAGTTTGAAAGCAAGGTACAGACATGAATTGAAAGAGATCAAAACTAGCGGATTATATACTCTCATCTCTACCAAATATGCATGAAGGGATACGAAATGAATAAGGTTAAAGGAAAAAGGAATGAATATGATAATTCAATGTATTATGAGTTCACCGTCCAATGAAATTATAGGCAGTAATGAAAGGATTACTACTCATCAGAGCATGACATAACCCCAACCGGGAGTTCCCACATTCTCTCCAAAATTGTACACAGTTTCATTAGACAGTAATGACTCCAAAAAACTATGGTTTTCCAGAATCCATGGGACTACACTATAGATAAATGATGAAAAAGTAAGAAGGAAGATCATCTGATACCTTAATCCCTTGGTCTTGGGATTTCCCCGCAGGAGATATCATCCGTAGCTGCTCTGACATCAAATTGGATAGGCCCAAGCTCAAGCTTACCAGATTCGATCTTGGCCTGATCCAGATTCTCATTCATGAGGGTTATCAAAGCTTGAACTTAATAATATCGAACACGACCAATTATAATCCCCAGATATTGTCCATAGCTGCTCTTACATCAAATTGGATAGCCTCGAGCTCAAGCTTACCAGATTCGATCTTGGCTGGATCCAGATTCTTGTTCACGAGGGTTATCACAGATTGAGCTCAATAATTAGCACATGACCACTTATAATCCCCAGCCTCAAACTCAAGCCAAGTCCACTCAAATCTGGCCTCTTTTAAGAATTGAACAACCATACAGCCTCTTTTGTGCACTGCATACGGCTCTGCAAAGGAATCGACTCCTCTATCCAAGAAAGAGACAAACAGAATCTATTAGACCCAAATCTTTAGATGATTCATTTACGACCTTTTTCCTCAGAGTCATCAAAATATTAAGATGGTTATGCTGCTTTTGAATTTTTAATTCAGCAATCCCAGAGTTTCTTTTTGATCCGATCAAATAAATAAAGATAAAAAGAAAATTTTTTCTTTCATTTTCTCCCTCGTTTCTTTCATAAAAATATGAAAGAAACTTTTGGTGTAGGAGCAAAAGGGTTTGGTTTATTGAACAGTTTTTGCCTCGTTTCTCTACTTTCCAGCATCGATTGGTATCAGATCCTGGGTTTTCTTCAAAAACAAAGCTGGGTATCAGGCCAAGTTTTGCCAAATCAACCTAGAACTTGCAGTTTCAGCCAGTTTGGTTGGTTCTCTGCATTCGGATTATGATTTCGGTGAACCTATGGCAGCAAGAAGAAGTCGAAGCAGGGGTAATCATATGGACCTCTTGATGAGAGAGATCAAGAGATAGATGATCCGAAGTGACAAGTTCATGAACTTACAAGGCGGCTTGCAGGAATTAATCGTAGATGAGATGTAAGTTTTATCCGTCCAAGATGATGTTGAGCACAACCCTTTTCACAATCGCGCTCCACAGGATGAGTCAAGTGAAGACGAATATGATCAAAGGCATAAACATTCCTCAAAATCCATAGATCTAAAAGTATAGACATTCCTGATTTTGAAGGAAAGTTGCAGCTCAACAATTTTATAGTCTGGCTAAACAGAGTAGAGAGGATTGAATCAAAATGCTTTGGTATGGTAGGAACAGCTAAGAGCAAGGGGCGAAAGAATGGGAAAACCTAAAACTTTGCCATGGGTGAAGATGAGGAAAAAGATGAAGGACAAATATCTCCTTGATAGTCTTTATATCAATAGATGCATGTGTAGCGCCAAGGAGAACGGTTGGTGGATGAATACATGGATGATTTTAACCTTTTGACTGCACCTTTGCAGCAATATTGGACTCTTGATGAGGTTTATAACCTTGCAAAGAGGATTGAAACTCAGCAGAAATGACCCTTGAACAAGATGGAGTGCAGGTGCAAGTGATGGGGGAAATATGGCAGCAACCCATGGTGGTGATTTTGGGAAGACATCTCGCACTGCTGTAACAACCAACCAACAAGGTGCCCTGAGCCAAAAAGCAGTTGTTTCATGAGTCGAGCAACGCGAAAGGAGTGCCAGTAGCAACTTTAAGTGCCACAAGAATTTGGGCACCGGGCATGTTTCATCAAAGTGTCCAAATGGCAAATCGTTTACGTTTCTAAAGAATTTTATTCTGAGGACAGCAAGCATTCTTTTGAAGGTGACCCATCTACGATGAGCCGGTTGTGAAGAGGACCTGGAAGTGACCTAGAATGATAATGGGGAGGCTTTGGTAATCCAGCGCAGCATGATTACACCCCGAGTAATAGACAAGGAACTTGGAAGGAACTAACTTCCCGAACTCCTTGAGGATCGGTGTGATTTCATGGGTGATCAAATCTTTGACAAGAAATCGTTTGAAGGAGATGGCCATCCTGTCTTTTATAGTGATCCATCTTTATTGAGGGTCTTATTTTTTATGACGATTTGATGGGTGATATTATCTATGGAGAACAACATAGTGAAGACACCGAAAATCAAGGAGACAGTAATCCATCTTTATTGAGGGTCTTATTTTTTATGACGATTTGATGGGTGACATTATCTATGGAGAACAACATAGTAAAGACAATGAAAATCAAGGAGATAATAGTAGTCCTGATATCTTCTCCAAATATGGGGTATCATGTGAGGTGCAGCCCAAGGGTTTGGTGATATTTCCTAAGAGCTTTGTGCTTGGAACTTCAATATAGAAGGTGGCCATTAAATGGTTGATTTTGTGATTCCTAATGTTAGGGTTTGACTTCAGCCATTGTTTTGTTTGGAGTGGAGAACCCCCATATCTAATTACTATATGCGAGTCGAAAGAAATCACAGGGGTAATGCAACATTAATCTTGAGCCGCTTCAAAATTTGTGGTAGAGTATATTATCTAATGCATTCGGGCCCAAAAATGTTGTGCTTATGTACTACAAGTATGGCAGCCCCAATGGGCCCAAAACATGGTTCATCCAATATCTATGGGGTGTGTCATGGCACCCTTGATCTCAAATTTCATTAATGTGGGAGATATGGTGATAGTTTATCTACACAAAGATAGGTATCATGTGGGCAAATAAAAAAAACTCAATAACAGGAAATCGGACGGCTGATGAAGAAGATGGGAGCAACATCAACCTTCCAACTGAGTTTGAGACCTTGAATGTGTTCAATGTTGATAATCTTTTCGAATACCCTGGACTTGAAGTAACAACAGAAGAAGAGCCGAACTCAAGGTGGAGTTCTTCCCAACCGAGGAGAATGATGCACCGGACAGTCCTTTGACTAGTCAAGGCAGTTCTCATGGGCCTTTTAACCCCAATCAATCCATCCTTTGACGATCTCCTTTATGATGATCCATATCACAAGGTCGCTAAGAGATTCGGGACGGTAAGGTTGACTTTTTGAAGGAGTTTATTTTTTCGTTTGTTGCTCTTTTTACAGTGCATAATAATTTCTAGTGTTTTAACTAATGTTAGGGGCAGTTTAAGGACCTCTTATATTTTGATTTGAGTGAAAGAACTTATGAGATATTTTTAAATAATATTTTAACTTAAGTGGGGTAGTTTTGGTCTTTTTCTTAATGTAATGTTACAAAAGGGATGATAGGGTTTCTAACACTTTTAGGGCGGCGTGAACAGTAAAAACAGGGCGTGAACAGTAAAAACAGGGCGTGAACAGTAACACCAGGCCTTATCTAGGTCTTAGTATCTTTTTCGTACAAGAAAATCCAGGTCCGCTCAAATCTGGCCTATTTTTATGGTTTATTGAACTAGTTTTGCCTCTTATTCTCTATTTTCCTGCATCAATGTCACATTAATGTTAATAAGATCTAATAATGGATAACTCAGATCCCCTCTGTTGTGCAGAACTCGCTGGACGACATCTACCATATGTGGGAGCAGACACTCATCTTTGTCCAGCAGATTTTCAGAATGTATTTATTAGTCTTCAGAAATTATTGGTTTTTTATGATTTGACCCTCAAAGGGGTTCATGATGAAATTTTGGAAAGTTCATACCTCTGTATGAGTTCCTTCGCTTTAAGGCCAGAAGTGCTGCTCATCTAATGGATTCCCAAAGATCAATCAGAGGGGAATTTACAGGATTCTAGCCTCCAAACTCCCTCCCCGCTTTTAGTGCTTTTTTTTTGGGTAGTTCAGCTCACGTAATCGAATTTGAGACATAGCGAACCTGCAGAGTGCAGACCTAAAGTAGAACTAAGATGTTTAACTAGAATCCCAATCTTATTTTCCACAAGAGAACTAAGATGTTTAACCTACAGCCAACGTTCTCTTCTTCACCCTCGCTGTCACGAAATTCTTTATATGATAAGAGAAAATACTGTAAGATACATGCTTCAAGTAAGGAAACCTATTTAACCAAAAAAAAAAAAAGTAGAGAAACTAAAAGTAGAATCCCCTGAATATGTTGCATCACAACAGCACAGAAACCAGTAACCAATTCCACAAAATGTAGCGAATGCAAAGAATTATCAAAATGATATCTGCAAATGGTTAAACAACAAAGTGCATTATTTCTACAATCAATTTACTTTTATCAATGAACGTTAACATGACTCACTCATTAGAAAGCACAATGCTTTCATCAAAGAAATGCTTTCTTTTCCTCGATTTTGGAGTTCGTTCCTGAGCCTTTGGAGTTGGAAGAACCATATATTCAGGTGTAAATTCCCCTGTTCAGAAAATTATGGTCAAACTCGTTAAACCACATCCTATACCTAACATGTGTGGATGATTCCAGTAAGCAAGAAAGAAAAAAAAAAAAACATTTAACTTTCGTAACAAATCATTAACACAAATTACACATGTGCCTATTGCAACCAACCAAATGCAGGTGGCACAACAGATTTAGGAGTTCCAGCAGGCGTTCCAACAACTGGCATTTGAAGAGATGAAGGAGAAAATCCTGAGGAAACACAAGTTCTCTCTGGAGATGGTAACAATGTCTCAGGTAGTATTACATTCCTTCCATGATCAACCTGTTCATTGGCATCCTTACAGAGCTCATTTGATTGCATTGCATGTATCCCTGAATTTAGTAGTTCATCTACATTTCGGGGCATTTCCGAGTCAGGATATTCCTCCAAACGAAGCCTATTTCCATCATGTTTAGGGATGAACGAGTCTAAATCACTTCCACTATCCACTTCATACGTCCCCATGTTATGATGAGAAAAATACCTAAAATTCAAAGATACCTTTTTTACTGTGTTTCACATTTGAATGGCAGACAGGTTACATGGAGAACAGAGATAGGAACTGACTATACGTACTCATAGCCTTGGAGTGAGATGTTAATTCCAAGCATCTGGGAACAGGTATTGGCCTGCACAAATTATTAAACACAGCAATGAATACTAGGGATCATTCAAGAAAGATTTCACCCTTCACTTTTCAAGCATGCCATGCATTCAAGCCACAGAAGCAACATATAAACGACCAATCATCCACTGAAACCTTTGCCCTGAAAAGGTTTATATATAGTTAACAGCCATGAAGAGGTGAAGCTTAGTACCTCATGCACGGAGAATGTCATAAACGGATCACCGCCACATGGAAACTGGTCTGTGTGAAGCACATTGTAAAAATGTTATCAGAAAAAATATAAACCAGATCTTATTGAATATAAAACATCCAATCAAATGCAAATCAGTAACAAGAAGAAACAAAACCTCGCAAAGTTATCTGGTCTCTAGTTTTAGTATGGTCACCTTCAAGCCTACATCACAGATCATAGGAACTTTGGCGCACTTGATAAAATATAAATCTAAAATTCATATAGAATGAAACAGTTTCATACTCTGTCATCTGATATCCCATCTCCTCCAAGTTCAAAAGATCAAGTTCAAACTTTTCTGGAAGAGTGATACTATGGAAAGGAGCAGTTGGGGCTTCTGGTAGTCTGTTGAGCTGCATTAAAACAAAGGAGTCTTTTAGTTTGTTTAGGGCTTCATGGCAGTCATGGTAGAGGTATTCGACTTTCTTTGAGTATATTCTAACAACGCCCAGGAGAAGATGACCAGACATTCTCAATGTGATTGAGACTTCAGAGCCTATGATGTAATCTGCAGGCAGAGAATTAAACAGTAGTCAGCCTGCAAGTATAACACAAGAATGACCTGTTTCTGCAAACTTAGAAAGGAAACTAAAAGTTCCAAAGGAACATAGACATAGAAGAATATAAACATGATAGTTTTAAAATATCAAGTGCAGAATATTTAGTTCATACACATAATAATCTTAGGTATCACTCCACACCATCATTCTTTCCATCCAGCAAAGCAACTTGAACCAAAAACACAGTCATTCAGAAGAAAAAAAATATGTGAACAAAACATACAACTTCAAGAAATCGAAGGCAGTTTGTAGCCAATCCTACAAGACAAAAAATCATCATAAGTTCTCATAATCATTTGATTATACGATTATTTGTTTAAGGCCTCAAAAGGCCAAGTGGGAGAATGTTGGAGTTATGTTCTTTTAGAGCCTCAAAACTTCGACATTTTCATAGCTCTCGACTTCAGTAGGAGTAAAAGAGCGACATGACCCTAGGATCTTGGTGCACTAGGACCAAGAATCATGAAACCCTGAGAGTCATACGGGCGCTTTATATGGGTGAAAGGCACCTAGAGGTTTAGGAGTTCCCTCTAGTCAGAGCCAGTTATTATTATTATACCTCATGATTGTGTGAAGGGTCGGGGCAGGGTGTATTTGCGTATGATTTATCATACAAGCTCAATGAGAAGGTTGAGGATTAGAGAGGACATTAGCCTAAATCCCTGGCAAGTAGTTGAACCTTTGCATTGTAGTGTATAGAAACCAAATCCAAGGTACGTCTTTAAAATTTTCAGACAAACTTGACAATAAAACTCAATTTCCTTGCAAATTACAATCATATGGAATTTTATGTCTCAATTACAGCCACATGAAAGAAATCAATCAAAAAACCTTTCGATACACTCATTTGATACAACTTACTTTGAGTCACTTGTCAAAAACAACGCAAAACTACTCAAGGAGATCAAGTGTGAAACACTTGAAACTAGTGCTTTTGAAAATTCAGCATTGTGCAAAATTACATACCAAAATTATACATCAATCTTCAATATAACGCTAATGAAAACATGATCTCCACATTTCGAGCATATAAATGCTCAAGTAATCAAAAATAACATGATCATGGGAAGCCTTTGAGAGCTCTTGTTGCCTGGTTCACTCTACCAAGGTCTTAGCTATGTACCATCATAGTGTGACATGTGATGGCAAGCATCACAATTAAGGCCAAATTCACTCTATCAAGTAGTGGGAAGCCAAGCATCAATGGAGCTACACTTTTATGGATGAAAGGGCTTTCAAAATCTGGGATCAAATTTAGTGGGAAAACATAGAAGATATGTAGGCTTAGATCACAAGATCAGCTCAAAACGAGTACGCACGCCATGAAGAAAATTTGGTGCAAGGAAGATGGAGGGAAGAAATAATTAAAATAAAAATAATAATAAAATGAGAGAGAATATACCCTCTCAGAGTCTGTAAGGAATCAACCCCATCTTTTCACAAGATCAACTTTACTGAATCACCAAATTCTCTGTTTACAATAAGGACTTCTCCCCTTTAAAGGAGAACGAAAAATAAATAAATAAGGACCCGGTTTTCGGTTTCTATGCGACCAAGCCCGCATATGTAGAAATGTGGGCCTATTAATAAATCTATTTTTGAGATAGATTTTTGAACTTAATTTTTAAGGACATGTAATATCTAACATGGAGACCATGAATATGAAAAAATAAGTAAATTTTAAAAAATAGAAATAATAATTCTAGTAAGAAAACATTTGGATCGTTAGTTTCCATTGTTTTTAGATGGAACACCTACTTGCATCCTTCTTTAAGATGGATGCTTTACACAGTTTGGACCGCATATATAGTCATGCGGTCCAACCCGCATGAAACAATTTTCCAATAAATAAACCCACATAAAATAAACTCTCTAACACTCATGTACCACCTTCCACGTAAATCTCTTCTCCCTATTTTCTCTCACGTGAGTCTCTATATGAGCTTCCATGTCCCTTCCTTATCTCCCTATTCTCTCTCACGTGAATCTCTATATGAGCCTCCATATCTCTTCCTAAATTTTAAGTCCACAAAAGTAAGACTTCTTTAGGTAAGCCCAACTTAGCCCAATATATCCTAAAAATCCGACCATGCCTAACTTATCTCTTTAAAACCAACCAAGCCTAGCTTATCCTAAAATCCAACCCCCTAACAACATAAAAACAACTCACCCCACACCCACCTAATTCCTAAAATAGGTAACTCATTTAAAAAATATTAATAAAATTAATTTTTTTTTAATTTCTAAATTTTCATCTGCGTCAAAATCAGACAGTTTCCCCTTGAAAATTCTCTAAAATGCTCCATCAATTGTGTGATTTAATTGACTAATGTTAATACCAAAATCTCAGAGAATTTTAGTCAATTAAATCCTATAAAACTCATAGAAAAAACTTTTGAAAACTAGATCATTCAATCATAGATCACTCCCTTAATCACATGAATCAATTTAAAATCAAGAACTAATCAAATGGAGAGCTATGAGATAGAAATACCTTGATGTAATTGAGGTTTTACAGTCATGGATTGCTCCAAAAACAATGGAGAAGATCCAACTCAATCTGAAAGCCTTATGGTTACTTGATCATCTTTTAGCTTGATGAAGCTTGAATTGGGTTTTAATGCAGATCAATTCTACTTTCTCTCACTAAGTTTTCTTTATCTCACTCAACTCGAGTTTAACTCACATGATGAGAGAAAAATGAAGAGGAAGAGGAAGAGGGACTAGGGTGTGCCACTCTAGAAAGAGAATGGGGAAAACCACTCTAGAGAGAGAGAATGAGAGTAGAGAGTGAATCAAATGAGAAGAACGAGTATTTACAGGCACTAGTCCAGAGATGCTTCTAGAAACGTGAATCAAGCCATTCATGTCAACACTCTATGCAACAAAGAGGAGCTTGATCCGAACCTTCCATCTACCATCCTACCATCTTGATGTGTTGACTGGAATAAAACACCATTATCCTCCATTTATTCTATAATTCAATAAAATTTGCCTTTTCTAAAATACCCATGTTGTTTCAGTTTGTCAAGATAAAAATCAAAATTAGGGACATTACCCTCGTGGTAATTAAGCACACTTTTCAACAAAATGCAAATTTGGAAGTTTCACTCTACTTTTGAAGAGCATATATATCCAAAATATATGATGCTACATGTGTGAGTTAGTTAAGTGAGCAACTACATAAGTCCTTAGGGCTTCGATTGAAATATCAAACTCTATGCTCTTTCTAGAAGGGTTCATACATGTGCACAAAATACAAATTTCACACATAAAACATGTGCCAAAATTCAAATTTCAGTTTCCCAAAAAATTACGAAGAATACCGAACTTAAATCAACTTTTAATAACATATCACAAAATGACAAGGGGGGTCCCATGGCGCTTTGATGTCACCCCCATATCATCTCCACGTGGCACTGATGTGGAGGCCCATGGCTCACACCCATTGGCCATTTGGGTGTCACGTGCAATCCCCCCGGCGTCTATCCTCATGTGTCTTTTGTTCAAAAGAAATTCGGAAAATGCTATTTCTCGCTCAAAAAATTCCAAAAGATCTCCAAAAATTCATTGAAACATTCTCTAGCAAAATAAATCATTTTGGCACCATCTATAAATATTTTCAAGGGAAATTAAGATCCTATGGAGTTGGATTAGACATCGGGGTACTCCACACGGCTAGACTCAGAATCCAGAGTCACCTTCTCAATATGACCCAACAAACTCATAACCCTCAAAGCTAATCAAGGGCTCACAATATAGCTCATAATTGCTGGAAACGTCTAGGAACCCGAATCGTTTTAGGAACCGGAATCGTTGAATCACCGCCGGCTAGAACATGCTTGTATTAGGAATCGTTGCCCGTACAATAAGTATCACTAGGAATGAGATTTCTAGTTTTTGAAAATCGTATTTCGACTGAAATAAATCCACGTTTCATCCACATATGGAATCGAGATTTTGTCCTCCTTGGAATCGAGATTCCCATCCCTCTGGAATCGACACTCAAGAGTCAAGATTCATTAATATGCGGAATCGAGTTTCCGACATCTATGGAATCGAGTTTCTGACATATGCGGAACAAAGATATGTTGTTATTTTGAATCGTGATTCTAACATATTTGGAATCAAGTTTTTAAAGTATATGGATCAGAGATCCAAATTTACAATAATATGAACTATGGAATGCGTTTGATGACCCCTACCAAGAATCGAGATTTCATTTTTATGGAGAAGGAAGCCACAAGCACATCTTGAGCCTCATCAACTTTAGAACCTATATAGGATGTAGTTTATTAGAAGGTTTCCCAAATTTTAAAGTGATTGTGTTGGCTATTGAACTTAAGGTCATTATATATACAAAAGACAAGTACTTCTAAATTGTGATTTTGACTTCATTATTATAAAGACAAAATAAGATTATGTCTACGTCATGGTTTTACTTTTAATCGTATGTGTTGTATTTTACATTTAAAGTAAAGACCATCCAGGGTGGCACAAGTAAAATAATGAAACCTTGCAACCACTAGAAGCATTCAAAGGAATATTTCTACTCCAATTGATGTGGAGACAAGATTTAATCCTTGCTAGAATCCAGATTCGATATATTTGGAAACATCTACCCACAATTAATGTGTTCAAAATTCTAAAGATATATAGGATCGAGATCCCGAAATTAAGGAATTGAGTTTCCTTGGTTTCGATAAATGGTTTCTAAATATGTGTTGAATTGAGATTCCAAAATTAAGGAATCGAGTTTCCTTGGTTCCGAAAAATGGTTTCTAAAGATGTGTCGAATCGAGATTCCAAAATTAAGGAATCGAGTTTCCTTGGTTTCGAAAAACGGTTTCCATTGAGATTCCTTAATGGTAACGCGGAATCAGGTTTCGCAACCAGAAACCCATATAGCTTATTAAATTCAAACCAATGAGTAAATCAAAATCTCCTA